CTCAAATAAATAAATAAAATCTTTAAATAAATTAATTAATTAATAATAATAATAATAAATAAATAAATTGAGCCTCACTGTGGATTAGTATGTCCAGGGCATCCTGCAGCTTTGTGTGTTGCAGACACACTTGTTCGTCATCTGTATTTTACTCAGAACAGCAGAGTCTGAAATGGCTGGCACCCCCCTCCTCTGTTTCTCCATACTCCCTGTGGTTCACTAGCTGGCTGCTGTGTTTCCTGCTATCTTTGGTATTTAACCTGTAAGCCAAATACCACTTTTCAGTCTCCTTAATTCCTCCAGTAATGTTATGTTCTTTTAGATGAATCACCTGAATTTAGCCAAGTCACATTCAACTGTCTTTCTCCAGGTAATCTTTTTGTTGTCAGGACACTGACTACCAGTTAGGGAGGACTTCTGCTAACCGTTATCATTAACAGGACGTCAGAGGGGGGCCAGAAGTTACAGTCCAGCCTCTTACTCCACCCCTTTGCTGAAACCCCCTGTTCTAAACTGGGCAGAAGAGTAGAATGGTCTAAAGGACTTTGCCAGGTGTGGGGCACCCACTTGGGACCAGTAAGAGAAGCAGGGAGCTTAATCCAAGAAGAATCTGGTGACCCCCAGAATAATTCCTTCCTTCCTTTCAGGGTCATCCTATGGCCTGTCCCAGGCCTCCCTGCCCCCTGGTTCCTTCCTTATGGACTAAACTGAAATAGAATCTGCCTCTGAAACTCGGGTGGTAGGGGACAGAGCCAGATATGATCCAGCAGGCTGTTAGCTCCCTGGCCTTGCTTAATATTGACTGGTGTTAAGCCCGGGGAGAGCCCTGAGCGCAGCGGGGATGCACACCAGTCAGGTCTGTCTGAGCTCTAGTTGCAGAACAGGCAGCTGTTTGTCTTTATACTTTGGTCTATAATGGGCTCTTTAAATAAAACCTTACATATCAGGAATATCCTTGAATTTATTTTTTGCCTTTGTGCTCTTTCTCTGGTCATCTTAATGCTATTATTGTTGCAGGTAACATCAGCTACCATTTATTGATTGCTTACCATGTGCTAAGATGAATAGATGTCTATAGATTTATAGAGATATATTTGTTTTACGTTTATAAAGATGCACATGTGTACACACACATTCTCACACATTCATTTAATCTCCACAGTCTGCCAATGTAGTAGGTATTATCCCAATGTTGTAGGACAACCTGGGAGATGAGGTTCAGAGAGTTTAAGGCACATGTTCAAGATTCTACAGCCAAAAGTTGCTGAGCCAGGTCTGGGCCTCAGAGGCCCTGAGTCCGCAGCATGAGCTGCCCTACAGGGCTGTCAGGGACAGTGTGGGCCCTTGTCCCTCATTTTCTAATGTAGTTTATTTCATGTCTTTGAATTAAAATTGGATACTGAGTTTTCTTGGTTTAATTTTTTTAAAAAATCTTGGGGTTCATCTTATTTTACATTTCCAGGCAATTTCCACTCCTAAAGATTTGCAGAAATACAGTCTTCTCTTTGTTGAAGTTTGCAACTGAGGTCTGTAGCCTCCCCTGGTTGCTGTACTTTAGAAGGACACTGATATAACTGTTACCTCAGCATAGGCTGCTTATCCCGCCCTGACACTAACTGTGAGGATCAGAGCCCTGGTACCTGAAAGAGGCTCAGGTGTTCTTATGTAGGTGCTGCATCGGAGACCTGCTAAGGTTTGGTGGGAAGAGAGCTTACACCACCAGGAGGCCTGCACTCTGCCCTGGATACATGTGGCTTCAGAGAGCTGTGTGCTCGGAGGCCGTCTGTAGTCAGAAGGAGGCCTGCGTAGGGTGCTCAGAGTCGCTCATGCCCTGTAGACACGATGGACATGCCTCTGTGTGCCTCGGGTTGGTCCACGGGGCCCCGGGCGCAGACTCAGTCCTGCCGCTGCTCCTCTCTATACCTCAGGGATTCGTGGCAGGAAAAGTGAAGAAAAGCAGTTCTGTGGTACTTGACCAATAACCCTGGCTTCTCTCAGGTAGAAAATTTGAAATGAAAATACATTTTAAAGATCTTTTAATCAGTTTTCAACTAAAATAATCTTTTGTATAATCCTGCCTTAGGTTTACGTAGTGCTTAATTATTTACAAAATACTGTTACGTGCATGATCTTGTCTACTGCGTGTAACCCTGCATTACCACTTCTGATCTGATTATGAAGTAGTTGGCTGTTATTCACAGTAGTTAGATATTTTTTAATTGCTTGTATCTGAAGCAATGCCAAATTATCCATGTTAGAAGAACAAGTCCAAGACATTCATTACTTGGTTCACTCAGACTGAATTCTGTGTTCAGTCACAGAACTGGGAAGTTTCAGAAATAGTTTGGTGAGCCCAGCCTGCACTTGCCCAGGAATGCTGACCCACATGATCATACAAGCCCGACTCATAGTTTGGAATTTCTTTTGTCAGATTCTGTTCAGAACAACCTGAGCATCTCCTTAATTTTTAACGAGCAGAGTCCCTTCTAAATACAGCTCTTCCAGTTTATTCCATAAAACATAATTGAAACCCCATTGTTATCTTATCATTTAATTTCCGTTCATTTTGCCATCTAAAACTCTGAAAAGTCTGCTTCATTTTAAACCCCAATCACTTAGTTTTTTCTTAAAAAGTGATTTATGTCCTATACTGTAGTAGACATTCTGTGAATGTTTAAATCATTTTTCTGAGATAAGTAAGGGTTCTCTTAATGTTTGAACATTTTAAAATGAAATTTTTAATGTTATATAAGAAGGTGAGGTTTTTGTTCATAAGACATTCTGAAGAGGATCAAGAGGTGTTACCCTCTTACTCTAGTATACTGCAGATGATTTCCATCACTTCTTTAACACAGGATGTTGGATTTTATCATCTTAAAGTATATCCATCTAAGAAACCTTTAAATTTAATTACAGCTAATGTCAATATTTACTGCTGAATTTATCTTATAAGTAAGATTTTTTTTTATATTTCTAGAAAATTAAAAGATCACATACTCAATTACCTGTAATTTTATTTTTTCAACAAATGTTGTGTTTCATTGTTCATTGGACAGAAAGAGGAGCCCTGTTTTGTTTGTTGTTTTTCTTTCTCTCTATAATTGACTAGATTTTCTATTTAATTTGTGCAAGTCATTTTTGTTAATTTTTTTTTTTGGCTTAATTTCTTTTAGAAACATGTCATTCAGGTTTATCAAAAGGTAGGACTTATATATACACATTATTTTTTTTCGATCCTTACCCCAAAATGGCTCCTGCAATTAACATCAGGTTTGGCTTTCTAGCCTTGTTTTTGTTTTGTTTTGTTTTGTTTTCTTAAAAACTAAACTTTCTGCTGAGAACTAAATACTTATTTCTTTGTAAGGAAACCTTGAAAAGAAATAGATTAACTCTGTCAGGCATTTGTAAAGGGATTGTGACACCCATGTAACAATAGGCCTGTGCATGCTCTGTGCATTTTCTTTCTTTGGTAGAATTATTTAGCATCCAAATAATTCTGTCTTCATACTAATAACACTTAGCATGCTTCTGTTTGAAGAATGAGATGTTCAGTAATATTAATGTACAGTTACTGATTGGCCTCAAGCCCGCAGAAGGTAAGTGGTGACTGTTGCCATCTTTTAGCAAAAGGCTTTAAAATGACCGGGAAGTTAGCTAATATTTTTACATGGGAAACAAGCACAAAATTCAAACCTACAGCCTCATTTGGTTTGAGGTTTTCAGAAATAAAGATGTGGGCAACTGATAGTGGAAATGTTTTAATATTTTCAGAGAGTTGAAGAGTAAGTAGTATTCTGTCTAAAAGCAGCTTTCCACCAACCACTGAAGGAAGTAGGTCTCATTACTTTTACTGAAAGCACTGTGGTAAATATTATATATTCCTACCAGATGAGTACTTTTTGATGATGATGAGTCAGGAGAACAAAAACGTTGCTCACAATCTTGGAATGCACACAGAATGAGGCAGAAAATCTGCCATTTGGGCCACCTGTGTCCAGAAGGCCAGGCTGTGGGGGTCTATGTGTTGATGAGGTCAGTGGGTCACTGAAAGACTGTGTGAACGTAAGCTCTGTTAAAACTGGGAGGAGCGCTTTCCTCATGTAGGAAATTCCCCTCCATGATTGTTTTTTAATCTTCCCAGTTGTCAAATTTTCCCTTGCACAAGAAATTTTGCAGTTGGAAGTAGGATTTAACTGCTAGAATTCATTTCCTTTTAGTTAAAGCCCATTACCCTTTGGGGGAGGGATTAAAAAATCAGAATATCTCCAATTCCAGAGCCGGGCAGGAATACCTGTTGTGTATGTGAAGCTGGTGCAGGGCCAGCCTCCTAGCCCGCCTGCAAGCACACATGGAGAAGGATGGCCGTGGGCTGATTCACCCCCATGACAGGATGAGTTTAACAAGCACAGCTGGTGACCCGAAGTGCTTTGGGTTTGCTCATTTTATGACATCTGTGTTTGTTTATGGGTGGTTGTGTACTGGTCTGTAAGATTTCTTTTCTCTTTCCCGCTTCTCTGCTTCTGCATTCTGTTCGTTGAGGCTTCCAACTGAATATGAGAGGAACGGGAGATATGAGGGCTCAAGGTGAGGGAAATTATTTTTACTTAAAATATTTTATAGGTATTTACCTTGTGTGTGTGGCAGAAACGATGCTCTTTTCTGAATATCCTGCATCATATCCCTGCTCTCAATGTAGGATTGCTTGGTGAGGTCAGCATTTTGTGGTTGGTGAAGCAGGAGTGTGTGGCTGCTGCCCCCTCCCAGTGGCCACTTGAGGGCGCCAGAGCGCCATGGCCACCAGCCCGTGGAAGCCTTCTGTCTCCCAGCCTGATTGGGCTTTCCACTGGTGTTTGGGTGTTAAAATACGTGGCCCTCCTGCCTGGGCGCTGACAGCCTGAAATGAGATCTGGGAGTCGGTAGGAGCACTGTTGACGTGTCCATAACTCCTGCATGATTCTGGTCTCAAAGAATGAAAGCAGAATATTGAGTAGAATTTTCATATTTTAAATTAGATGTGTCTTTAAGAATGATTATGTAGTCGGGCGATTTGCTTTTACATTTTGTAGATCATTTTGTATTTCATTACACAGATTTGGGTGCTGGGGGAGTTGACCAGATAGGCCTCCATAGTCGTAGTTCTTGTCCACTTACGCCTTTTCAGTACCAGTTACCAGCTTGCTGTATCAGGTCCCCGTTAACCCATTTGCTCTCCTGCTGGTCTTTCTAAAGCACAGCTCTGATCATGTGACTTTTCTGAATGAAACCTTGCAGTGGCCCCATTGCCTGACCTGCCCTGGGTGGCCTCAACAGCCCCGGCCTCCCCTGACCCCACCCCTGCCCCAGTTGAGGTGTCACTCCCACCCCAGGCCTGCCCATGCCGGCCTTGAGCAGGCTCCAGCTGTCCTGAGTTTGCCTACCGCAAGTACTCAGCAGCTGTTGTGGGGGTGATGCTGTGCCCCCAGTTCCAGTCCATCTGTACACTTGATTATACCCTCGACACATTCTGTGCTTTCCATACGTCCCTGCCTTTGCTTATGATATTCTCTCTGCTCAGCACACGAACTCTCTTCCCCCACCCCCGTTGTATTGGAATCCCATGGTTCTTGGTAGCTCTTCTCAGATGCCACCCCCTCCTGGAAGCCATTTCCTCATTTCCCTGCACTCCTTCCGTTAGAGGGCCCCACCTGTCGTTCCTCCCACCCTCTAGTGGACCCTTTATACCTTTCCTGTTCTGCTGTTGGCCTTGAGTTGCAGTCTTCCCTCCCCCAACCCCAACTTAGCTTGAGAGCTTTTGCTCATTTTTGTAACCTATTTAGTGACTAATACAGCATTTTATACATAGGAAGCTTCCGACCAATTTGAGGAGATGTGAACAAAATTGAATATTCTACCAGCAGGTTGGCAGCTATCTGCATAGTAAACCTATGGCCCACCCTCAGGTCTGATAAATTTGCCATAGGATGAAGTGTTTTTAACATGCATATCCTGGGTGTTTTTAATACAAAAGAGTGTCAGTCATTCACCGTCCTCATTGAAGCATCTGATGTATACATGAGAGTGTAAATAATTTTGTGGCAATGATGATTAAATGCCATGAACAGCAAGATATGGTAGATTCCTAGTTGTGGACTTCCCAAGAGAACTGTGCCCAGGACCCCACCGTGACGTCACCTCATAGACATTGGGACCCCACCCCTTCCACTCTGTGGATCGATACAGCTTGCGTTCAAACTGGTTGTTGGAGTGCTCAACAACAAACAAGCCTTAACATTTCATTTTTCTGCTTCAGTAGTAAGATAATGTCACCTAAGAGTTATTTTTAACTGTGGAATTAACAGTTTAACAAAATGGCAGGAAAAACATCGAGGTGGGTGGAGGGAATGGAGAGAAGGGCCCACGCCCCCACCCAGCTGTATACTCGGGCCACCTACAAGGAAGGTGATTCTGAACTATGTGGAGACACTGGTTATCCTGAGGAACCACTGTGGTGAAGGTTATGAGGATCTGACCTGAGAGGAGAAGTGGTGGCACAGGAGCAGCCGTGCTGGTCAGAGCCAGGAGCTGGCCTGCCGACCCCGCCTCCCTAAGCTGGGCTTTTGGGGGTCTCCCCCGGCTCCTTGGCACCTGCATTCAGCCTAGAGGGGAAAGCTGGGCTCTCCTTGGAGAAGCGCTCAGCTCTCTACTTCACCTGATCTTCAAGGATTTTGTTTAACAAATTATTTTCTTAATGTTATTAAGGATAGATGGCTGGTGAAGATTTTTCAGCCCGGTAGACCTTGGCCTGTGTGGGTTATGGTTTGGGGGGGGAGGTGAGTAATAGAGGAATGCTTCTCAGTAAAGGAACAGGACACCACATGGGAGCCTATGCAAGAGAAGTGTGGAGGTCGGTTATTCTGTTACAGCGAAGATGTTGATTATGAACTAGCTGAACTAGAAAAGGTTGGTTTTTCTGTGCAATTAAAAATAAACCTGCCACTGTGCATTTCAGTCGCAACGTATCTGCCGAGCAAAAGGATGAAAACAAAGAAGCAAAACCTCGCTCCCTCCGCTTTACCTGGAGCATGAAAACCACTAGTTCCATGGATCCCAATGACATGATGCGGGAAATCCGCAAAGTGCTGGATGCCAATAACTGCGACTATGAGCAGAGAGAGCGCTTCTTACTCTTCTGTGTCCACGGTGACGGGCACGCAGAGAACCTCGTGCAGTGGGAGATGGAGGTGTGCAAGCTGCCAAGACTGTCTCTGAACGGGGTCCGGTTTAAGCGGATATCAGGGACATCCATAGCTTTCAAAAATATTGCTTCCAAAATTGCCAATGAGCTAAAGCTGTAACCCAGTAATTACGGTGTAAATTAAGTAGCAATTTAAAGTGTTTTCCTGAACACTGATGGAAATGTATAGAATAATATTTAGGTAATAACGTCTGCATCTTCTAAATCATGATATTAAAATATAAGGACGAGAGCACGCCTGGGAGCGGAAGCTGGCCTTTTTTCTACGAATGCACTACATTAAAGATGTGTGACATGCGTGCCCTCTGTCTTATTTCCATTGCCCTGAAAGCGTGTGACATCATCGCCATGGGCCTCCTGTCTGTGTGGTGTGAGCGTGGACTGTGCGTGTGAAGTACTGCATACGGAAGCATCTCCTTACACTGGCAGCCAGAGTTGTTACGAGTACCTCTGTGGGAGATCATTTGGTGCTAAAACATTAAAATTGCCAAGGAGGAAAATGTTGAATTACTACTAAGAATTAACTTTAAGACTAGTTGATAATTAATACAGGTTTACAGTTCATGCCTGTGGTTTTGTGTTTGTTGTTTTGTGTTTTTTTAGTGCAAAAGGTTTAAATTTATAGTTGTGAACATTGCTTGTGTTTTTCTAAGTAGATTCACAAGATAATTAAAAATTCACTTTTTCTCAGTAAAATCTTGCATTGTCTCCTACTACTGTATTTAAGACTCAGATTAAGGCAGTGACTAAAAGTATGTTTTGCCTCCACCACCAAGCTGAACAAAAGCAAATGGTAAGTGTATGAAGGCCTAGGGCCACTTTGTCCTTAGCGTGGAGCCCAGCATTTTGTGATTACTAGCATCTTTTTTCTCCAAAGGCAAAAAAGGGAGAAGTCGGCCCTCCTGGCGACCTGCGGAGGAAGGGAATCAGGAGCCTCCGCGAGCCCGTGTGCAGAGGTACCAGGTCCTGACGGTTCTGGGTTTGTTGTCCATGAAGTATGTAATTTTCCTCTCTTGTTGTTTTTGTGATTCAGAACATGAATCAATCCTACAGCTTTTTTCCCACCACCTACATGGTTATATAGAGGGAGTAATGAATTCATCACTTAGGGTGACACTTCAGTCTCATGGGGAAATTGCCACATTGATTGGTGTGCTATTTTGGTTTCTGGGTTTTTTGTTGGTGGTCAAAGTATGAAAGTCTGGACAGACAGTCAAATATTCAATACCATGGGCAGAACGCTGTTTTAAGTATTGGGGACACATCAGTGAACAAAACAAAGATCCCTGTAGCATCTCTTGAAGCTTATGTTCTAATAGGATGGCAGTCAGTAAGCAAAAAGTAAAGTCGTAGGAACAAAATGATCAGTGCCAAGAGAAAAAAATGCAGAGTGGTGTCAGGCATTCCTAGGGACCCGAGGTTTGGTCAGTGCCATGTTAAATCGGGGGATGGGGACGGTGGCTTGTCCTCTCAGGGAGCAAGGAGAAGAAGCCAGGAAAGCTGTTCAGAGGCTGTCAGCAGTGATCAGGCAGGAGGTGCTGCTGGCCCAGTGAGACCGTGGTCAGTTCTGGATATGTCCTGAAATAAGAGTCAACTGCATTTGCTCTTGTGTTGCCTGTGGATGAGCGAGCCCAAGGCTGTACAAGTTTTGGCCTGAACAGCAGAAAAGACGGGTTTGCTGTCCATTGGAATGGGGCAGCTTGCTTTGGCGGGGAGGGCGAGCAGCAGAGCGGTTTTGAATGCACTGAGTTGGGGGTGCCTTCAGACACCATGTGGAGACCCAGGAGGAACCCCGGGAGTCCTCAGCCCCTCAGCCAGTGGGTGGATCCTATGCGGATATGGGACAGAAGCTCCCAAAAAAGGGGTGCGGCCTGGGAGGCGTAGAGGTGGGAGGGGCCCCGTCTCCCTCCTTTTTTCACCTGAGGCATTTTAGTTCCTTCTCTAGACCCAGTTCCTTTGCACACGCGCTTCTCTCACAGCTCCGTGTGCACAGGTTCCTCCGAGCAGCTGCCCTGTGGAAGTTTGCAGAAGGGAAGCGGGGCTCCTCTGACCTTCACGCCTCGGACACATTCTCTAATAGCTGGCCATAGTTTTGTTCTCAAGGACACACTGAATACTGGAGGTTAAGCTCCTTTGAGAGAAGTTCATTCCCCGTGTGCCCTGATGAGATGACCACTCTGTGCACGTGTTGTTGTCGGGTGTTGGTTTGTCAGAAGTGTGTGGGCACTTTAATGCACTACTGACCCAGTGAGAGTTGGGTACTGATTCACGGAAGTGGTCTGGGTCGGTCTCATTTCAAAGCCTCTCACACTGATTGACATCGGTGTGATTTCAGTGGCAACATAGATAGTGTTACTTTACTGCAGCTAAAACATGAAATCACATCGATTACTGAGGGGCCCATGCCCGTCCTTAAAATAGTATGTTTTTATAATGCGGTGTTTTTATTCTGCATACAGTGAATTTTGGAAAGGAATGTTCTAGAGTACTTGAAAATCACTTCAGACGCAATGACAAGGCCACATTTTTCCCTCATCCACTCCTCTGGAGTCCCTCAGAGGTGAGGTAAGGTATGTGGTGGGGGTGGTGCTACTGTTCATATTTACCTGACAACAAAAGTGTTGTCTACTCCTGAAAGTACAGTTAGTATTCCAGTTATGTTGACTCTCGTCCAGACCAGGCAAATCGGAGGACCCGAGACAGCATTTCTTAACGACGTGCCTGGCTCTTGGGCTATCCTTTCGTGGCTAAGAGTGAAGACCCAGGCAGAAAGCTGGGACGGGACATGACTGCCTTGGAGAAGCACAACCGTGAGCGTTTGCACAGTGTGTGTTTCTCCAAAAGCCTAGAGGAGGATGATAGTTAAAAGAAAGATCTCGCTGTGTGTGCTTTATGAACACATTACTGTCGCTGTAGAAACCGTCCCTGGAATACCCTTTCCGGGCAGTTCCTGCTCTGTGAGTGGCGCATGGTGACCTCAGTGTCCACGGAGTGGGGAACGCAGGGGTGCAGGGAGGTGTGTCTGCCTGCTCAAAACTTGGCTTTCTTTGGGGTGTTTTTGTTATTTGGGGGGTTTGGGGTTTTGGTTTATTTTTGCTGATTTGCCATAAGACCCTTTTAAAGAGCTCAGCAGCCCACTTTACACTGGGGGGAATGGTTGCTCTCAAAGGGAGCGATGGTGAGTGAAGGATGGGCCTTGCAGGTACCCTAACACTGCACAGGTGAGTCTAGATGTGACTGTCCCCAAGAGTAGAACCTGGGCATCCTCCCAGTCAACAAGGAGGACAGAGTTTCACAGCTTTGTAAATGGGTCTTCAGTCTGCCACTTTGAGACACCAGAACCCAGGCGGGGGGTGATGCTCCCTCAGAGAGAGTGCTCGCCACTGGTGTGGTGACATCCCAGCGGGGCCGCTGGGCGTGATCAGTGTCAAACCAGCACTGTACTCCTCAGAAGTCAGAGCTCACGCAGGGCATCTGGGCCTGGCTCCTCCCCCAGGGGAGGGCGGTCACATGGTAAGGAGAAGCCATCAGAGGGACTAGATGGGGAGGTTTGGGCACGTGAAGAATGGAAAGGGGGTGGGGGCTGTGACACTCAAGGAGGAAGCCAGCTTGCTAGGATAGCAGAGCGGACAAAGCAGGGAAGCCTGAGTAAACTCACAGGAGCAAAGTACTCTGCCGGGAGGTGAGCTGCTGGCTGTGGTGGAGGTGCTGAGGTCTGCCCACTGGTTACTGCAGCAGGGTCTGGATGGCCGGGAAGGCCGGCGTCGGATGGCTTTGGCAGGGCAGGGCCTCTTAGGATTCACTTCACTCAGACGTCAGAGCCCTGTTTAAACCTGAATTAGGCAGCGTGGCTTAGCAGTTGAGGTGTATGCCCTTGATCAAGGCAGCCTGGTTTTCAGGCTCTGGGTTCATACCTCAGGTTGCCTCTATAAAGCGTGGCAGTAATGATACCTCACTCTGGGCTATTGGTAGGGTCCACCAGGTGGCAAGTGCAGAGCGGGGTGCCTGGCAGCTGCTAGTAAGTACGCAGCTCACTCAGGTACAGGCCCTTTTAAACAAGAATTCAAACTAACCCTGTGTCCTTCCTCCCTGCCCAGCTTAGCCAGGACACTGAAGTCCTTGAACACTGTGCTCTCTGCCCTCCCAGCAGAGGCTTGTTAAGGAAATTCCCCCAGGGGTGCCTGGTGGCTCAGTCAGTTAAGCGTCTGCCTTCGGCTCAGGTCATGATCTCAGGGTCCTGGGATCGAGCCCCGCGTCGGGCTCCCTGCTCCATGGGAAGCCTGCTTCTCCCTCTCCCACTCCCCCTGCTTGTGTTCCTTCTCTCGCTGTATCTCTCTCTGTCAAATAAATAAAATCTTTAAAAAAAAAAAAGGAAAATTCCCCCAATTTCTGAAGTGTAGAGTTCTGGTCTCTGAGCCTGGTGTTAGGAAACCAGCCAGTACCGTTGTGTTCCTGGCCCCAAGTTTTGGCGTATGTCCCCAGGGGACAGAGAAGAGTATGAGTCTGGTGGAAGAGCACAGTCAGGGGAGGCAGATGGTGCCCCCCACCCCCGCCCTACCCCACCCCATCCTCCCTTCAGACTGCTGGTCACCTCTCCCCCAACAGGCCTACCGTTGCCATCACTTTTAAAGATTTATTTTAGAAGGAGCGAGGGGAGGGGCAGAGGCGGGGAGAGAGAGAATCTCCAGCAGACTCTGTACGAGCTCGGAGCCCGACACTGGGCTTGATCTAAAGACCCTGAGATCGTGACCTAAGCTGAAATCAAGAGTCAGATGCTCAACCGACTGAGCCGCCCAAGTGCCCCTGTCATCACATTTAAAGTCCCACTGGTTCAGGGGCGCCTGGCTGGCTCAGAATCAGTAAAACATGTGACTCTTGATTTCAGGGTCATGAGTTCAAGCACCATGTTGGGCATGGTGCCCACTTTTTAGAAATAATAAAGTAAAATAACACCGCACCACATCGGCTCTCCCGGCCTGCTTGGCCAGCTGTGCCCTCCCACTTTGTGTCGTGCTAAGAGTCAGCAGCATGGACAAATGTTTTTTGTCTCTGTATCTACCCTCCCTGCCCTTAGTAGAATGCAAGCCCCAAGGGGAAGGGTGGTTTTTTTTTTTTCCGGGTACTTAATACAAAATAAGTATTCATTTAAAATAATGAAGATGGTGGTGATGATGATGAAGAAGGAGGAGAAGTAGTAGTAGTAAGTACTAATAGTAGTAGTCGTAGTAGTCATCATAGTATGGGCGAGAAATACTTGAAAAGCACGAGGCAGTTTCAGTGGCTTCAGTCAGAACTCTTACCGGGGTTCCCCTATAGCCCAAGGATGAGGCAGGCGCCACCATGGGAAGCTGTGTTTTGATTTGTGGTCCATCCTCTTCCGTCTCCAGCAGCCATCTGAGCTGAGCCCTTTCTGTTTTACAGACAAGGCTCAGAGGTGGGCTGGGAATGTGATTTTCTCTTCACTGAGCTGTCCCAATTGCCGATGCCCATATTGTGTCATTCATTCGAGTCAGGCGCAAGACCATGCAGGTCCTCGGGCGGGTGCTGTGGGCGTCCAGGATTAGGTCCTGAATCGTATGACATTTGCCATCCGATGTGAAATTGGGGGTTAAAGCTCTTGGCTTAGAGCCTTAATCCATATCCCGCACCACAGAGTCGCGCAGTGTGGTGCTTAGGTTTCAGTGCATTAAGAGAAC